ATAGGATAAGGCCATTCAAAACAGAACGATTCATCCTTGAGTGAAAAATCGAAATCACAGCACAGGAATGCCTTCTTTCTACCCAAGGCTCATCTATCCAACTGTTAGTAAGTTTCCTACATATACCAATCCCACACACCAATCACTGCGACAAAAACCTAGCATTTGGGGCCCCGCATGAGAGTGTAGTGACTAAAACTCTCACCTTGAATGCACGTGCCAGGATCCCATATGGGCGCCGGTTCTAATCCCAGCAGCCCCACTTCCCTTCCAGCTCCCTGCTTGTGGCCTGGGAAAGCAGTCAAGGACGGCCCAAAGCTTTGCGACCCTGCACCCATGTGGGAGACCTGGAGGAAGAAGATCCTAGCTCCTGGCTTCGGATCGGCTCAGCTCCAGCAGTTGTGGCCACTTGGGAAGTGAACCATCAGACAGAAGATATTCCTCTCTGTGTCTCCTCTTCTCTGCATATCTGCCTTTCCTATAAAAATACATAAATCTTAATAAAGAAAAAAAAACCTAGTACTCATTTCTGCTAATCTGGGATAACTTCACTGTAGTGTTTACCTCAGCCTTAACATTTTCACCAATCCTATATACTGATGTTACCACATCACACTGAGTACAGCAAAATTCTCTACACAGATTTTAATCACTGCCTGCCAAAATCACGTATTGTAATTAAAATGCAACTATGTTATAAGCTGATGCATCATGCAGTAAACTTTTTTTTTTAAGATTTATTTATTTTTTATTGCAAAGTCAGATACACAGAAAGAGGAGAAGAGACAGAGAGGAAGATCTTCTGTCGGATGATTCACTCCAAGTGACCATAATAGCCAGTGCTGGCGCCAATCCGAAGGCAGGAGCCACGAAATTCCTGCAGGTCTCCCATGTGGGTGCAGGGTCCCAAGGCTATGGGCCATCCTTGACTGCTTTCCCAGACCACAAGCAGGGAGCTGGATGGGAAGTGAAACTGCCGGGATTAGAACCAGCGCCCATCTGGGATCCTGGTATGTTCAAGATGAGGACTTTAACCACTGTGCCACCGCGCCGGGCCCGATACATTAACTTTTTAATACTTCCACCAACTAAAGTTTGCATCATCATAATGCTTATTATGGGTGGAGAAGCTGTAACTAAAACTAAATTACCAATGCAACTTAAAAGCAAATACCAAAAGCATTTGTTTTGTGGGAAAGCATCAAAGTCAACCCTTGTTGGCTTTTTATATCTAATACTGTCCTCTCTAGCAATGTCAAAAGGTCTTTTCAACTCTAGTATATCCTGTATTTTTTGTGTATGTATTCTGTTTTCTTTTCATTCAATTCTCTGTAGACTCCATTCTCCATTTTATCTCTTGGAAGTGCTATTATTCCACCATGAAATACTTTTTCCATAGAGTACTGAGAATGCATTTGCCCCTTATTGTAGGGCAATCAGTGTGAAAACATGGCAGCAGCCTCATTTCCTGTCTCACACGAGGGAAGAATTTTCATGTAGACAAACTCTAGTCTGCAAATTATGACTTATTTAGGAAAGAAAGGAAAAAAAAAGTTATTCTGGATGGGCAGTAATGTTTACCACCTCCCCCAGACACAAAAGGTGAGACTTGTAGCCTCCTCATCTCATCCTAAGATAAAGTGAAAACCAAAATGCCATCCTTACAGTGACCCTGAGAGACACATCTGGGCCAGTGTCCTTGCTCTAAGAAATGGGGACTGATATGTTGATTCTGTCCCTCTGGTCCCTCCCCAGAAGGAAAACCTGCTCCAGGAAGAGCATGGAAATAGGGCAAAACCCTGTTTTTCACATTTTAAAAGATAGAAGCACAATTATTATTTTAAAGGTAACTTCACCAGAGACCCTAACTGCCTACTGTCCCTTTAATTCCTCACACAACCCTAATGTATTACATTGATTCTGACCTTTTCTTATCTGTCAGACTAATGATAAAACTAGTAGCTGTAGCACTGGCACACTGAAGCTGAAAATGAAACACCAAGGGACATGATCACCTCTCCAAACAATTCATAACGCTTTCACTGGGTCTTTTTCTATGACTCACAATAAAATTTCTAACAATACGAAACTGTCAGACACGTTTATAACCCAGTTTGGGAAACAATGGTCTAAAGCAGAGTTCTTTACTCAGGGCCAATGGGATCCCTTTAAATTGGGGAAACTGTTGAATTCACCTCCATGTGCCTTATTTTATGCACTTAAAATACTATGAGAATGGGTCTCATAGCCTTATGGAATGCCAGAAGTATAGACACAAAAAGACATTCCCATCAAGTCCCAAGGATATCCGGGATCTCCGTTCTCAGAGTCTCACAGGCCACCTGACAACAGCAGCCCAGGAAATGCCAGAGTGCCTCAGCAAGGCTGTGAGAGTCTGCAAAAGGCAGAACTGTAGACGTGAGGGTCCGGCAGACACTGCCCAAGTCTGTCACTTCTCCACTACACCAGACTTAGCCAATGCCCACTCCCCCACCTGGCCAACACAAGGCAGAACATTGCTAATTACAAGGAGCCTCTCAGAAGCTCAGCAGGGCTTTCTCCTAAGGTGTTTCATGACAACCCTGCAAGAAACATGCTTGGACCCCTTTTACAAGATGAAGTAAATGGAGAATCAAGGTAAGTTGCCTGTGATCATCAAAACAATGGGCCAGGGCAGGGAGACACCACGGGCCTGCTCAGCTTTGGCCTCCCCTTCCTGCCAGGCCATCTCAACGTTCCCTTGGGGCTTCCTCTTTCTCATTACCTGTTTTTTTGGCATAAGAAAATTCAGACATACAGATTTCTAAAACTCTTCTGGCAGAATTGTGTAGGGATCTAGGCTCCAAACGCTGCCCACTTCTCACTAAATTCAGCTCTGTAACACAGTGCTTTAGGATAAAAAAAAAGTTTTCCCCAAATGTAACTGTTTTTACAATTTAATCAGGAAAGGCCTCCAATCATCATTGCTTTCATCACAGTACTTAGCACAGACTAGTGTCAACTAATATTTATCGATATATCTGGAAGGATCCCTTAAACATTTCTCATAAACTTCAAATAAAATCTGCTAACATATTTACTGCTGGGTCGAATTACCTGTTACCCACACTTGCCACCTTCACCCTCCCTCAGTCCTCCTATTAACCCATATTTGGATGTGATGCAATCACCTTTGAAGACACTCTGATCCTGCCTCTAAGGCAGCAAGGCTGACAGGGCCAACAAAATGCAAAGGAAGAACCCTGACAGAAACTGCCAACATGCTAGAGGCTGTGAGCTGTGCCCAGCTGGTTGGGCAAACACCAGGGAGTACTTAGGGTTTTGTGCACAGCTTTGTTCTTCTGACATTCCCCCCCCCCCTTTTTTTAAAGATTTATTTTTATTATTTTTTTATTGGAAAGGCAGATATACAGAGAAAAAAGACAGAGAGGAAGAGCTTCCATCCGATGATTCACTCCCCAAGTGAGCACAACGGCCGATGCTATGCCAATCAGAAGCCAGGAGACTCTCCTGGGTCTCCCACGCGGGTGCAGGCTCCCAAAGCTTTGGGCCGTCCTCGACTGCTTTCCCGGGCCACAGGCAGGGAGCTGGAAGGGAAGCGGGGCTGCCAGGATAGAACCGGCGCCCATATGGGATCCCGGGCGTGCAAGGCGAGGACCTTAACCACTTGTGCCACCACGCCAGGCCCGAGTTCCCCCTTTTCAAATCCATCACCCTGAGCTCTTCCTTGATAAGCATGAATGGTGGGAGAGGGGTTGTGGTGCAATCATTGGGCTACCCTGCTCCCTGGTAATGCTCCGGGGAAGGCAGAAGAGGGCAGCCCAGGTATGTGGGTCTGTACCACCCAGGTCGGATGGAGTTCTGGGCTCCTGACTTGCCAGCCATCTAGGGGTTAAACCAGTGCACATAGGATTTTTGTTTTCTACCATTCTCCCAAATAAGCAAAAACAAAAAGTCAAAGATGATCAACGCTGTGGCTGTCCTATTAAAGTCTTGACGTTTTGAAAGGTGCTTTGATACCGATTAGTTACCAAAGACAGGAACTTCAGACTATCCGCACTTGCAGAGCTAAAAAAAACCCACTACTTGAAGAAATTTTCTGCATCGAAAACCATTCTAAAGAGAAAATGTGCCCGGTTTGCAGACTGCAACCAAACAGGTTAAACGCGTTGAGTAACCCCTAAACCAGTATCCAACAAAGGCCCAGGCTTAGGAGAGGGAGGAGATGGCCTGCCTGGAAAGCCCTCCCCTGCCCCAGGGCTGGAGGGGATGGGATGGGGTGCCTACCAGGGAGGGCCTGAACCCAGCTTCGCAACCTGGACGATTTCCCATTTTCAGGATCTGTTGCAGCCTCTTAAAACCACCATTTTTTTGTGTACACACACACACTTGAGTGATAGAAAGTTCTGGAAAATCCAGTAGTAACCGACAGCTTCACCCGCGTGGTTCCAGGTGGGCAGAGAACACACAATGGGGTTGCCAGAGTCTTTTGCGCAGCAGCAGAGAAAGCATTCGGGGCTCGGCGAGCAACGGCAGCCCCCAACTCACCTCCCGGGGAATCAAACCCGCCCGGGGGAGGTGGCCCTCAGTGTACGCCACATTCGGGCCGTGGGGAACCCGAGACGCGCACCCAGCCCCACGTGCGCCAGCGGCTGGGGAAGTGGCTCGGCATTCCTCCAAGGCGAGCAGCAGCGACGGAAACTCCTGACTCCGCCTGGGCCCAGAGGAAGCCGGCAGGGAAAAGCTAACGGTCACCCTGGATTCCTTCCCCGGCCCCACCGGCCTGAGCCCCGCAGAGCAGCAGGTGTTTGGGGCGCCTTCTGGGTGGACACTGGGGCGCAGTGGGGCACACGAGTGGAGACGTAGCAAGAAGACCGGCGGAGCCGGGTGCGCAGCCTGAGGATGGGGAGCCGGTGAGGACCCCCTCCCTTGTATGGGGGACGAGGGGACGCGAGGGGGGAGGTCTGCTCGACGGAGTCGCCCCCACAGCCCCTACTCACTTGAGCCAGCGACGTGAGGTCGCTCCACGGACGGAGAAGGCGACCTTCCAGCACAAAATCGGCGCAAGGACTCGGGACTCCGGGGCCAGGCGCGCCGGCGTCTTTTAAAGACGCGCCAGAGGGCGTGGCCTGGCCGCCCGGCGGCGGATCCCGGGCCCACCTCCTGCGGGTGTCGGGGCTCGGCGGCCTGCGCTGCCCGCCGCCCTGCTGACGGGCCCTCCCGGAGACAAAAGGCAGGAATCCCGCCTCTTCCTGCCGGTCCCCGGCGGCCGGCATCTTCCCACGTCGCGGGGCTCCTGCAAACGACCGCTTGAGGCTTCCAGAAGCCATTGTGGATGGAGAGGGGGGCGTGTGCGCCTCCGGCGAGGCCCCGGCAGCGGCGCCGCCCTGAGGAAAGCCCCCGGCGCCCCGCCGCCGCTCCTCCGGTCGCGGGCACCGCTCTCCGCTCTTCGCCCGGCGACTCGTCTGTGCAAAACTGGCCACGTGGCGGTTACCGCCGCCCTCCCTCCCATTGACTAGTCTTTTTAAAGAAAAGCCCAGTTGCCCTCTCTGGTCCTATTTCCAGTCTTTGGAAATCTGCAATTTTCTTACAGAACAAACGTTCTAGTCCACACTAAATAAGCGACATCAGGAAAACGCCGCTTCGCAAATGCCTTGCTTCGTCCACGACGGGGCGCAGCGCGTGTTGCTTGAGGGAGAAGAAAGCCAAACCCAGGCAGAAGCCCCAGCGCCCAGGTACCCTGGGTTTGGCTTTCTTGACGGCAGATAATTTCCAGAGGTGGCAGTGACAACCAGAGGGATCTACAGGGTGCTTGGCCGTTTTAAATGAAAAGAAAGCAAAGCATGCCATCTCTTTCCAGTGCACATCCTACGCCTGCTGACCTCTCTGCAAGCAGGTGTCATCCCGGAGAATTGATGTTTGGGTCGTGAGGGGCTTCACAAAGGCGGTGACAAACACACCCTCATGCCACAAATGCAACAGCACTCCCCATTCAGAGTGTCTCACCTGCACACTGTGGATGTCTCGGGCTGAGGCGGGTTGAGTCAGACCTCGGAGATCACCTACACACCCGCCAGATGCCAGTAGCAACCCTGCCCCCATGTTGTGGCAATGCAGCTTGTCTGCAGACACTGCCAGTTGTCCTTGTGGAGGGAGGCAGGGCACAGTGGTTGAGAACCACTGCTCTGGTATGTATCTGCCTGAGAAAGTGCAGAACTGAGTTTTAATATTGTTTTATTCATGTGCTGGGGCCAAGCCAGGATAAACTCATTATAATAGCACCCTTGTTCTTTGGCCACCAAATACGGTACAAAAACACAAGTGGTGATTGACATCTCCTGATACTGTGGCAGGAATCTGAAAGTATTCCTGCCTGCTGTGAGCATTTCTAAATATGGTCAATCCACATTTTCATGGTATCAGCTAATATGGACTCGGCTCCTGGTGACAGCTTGAGAATTCTGTTTGGCGCTTCTTAACAGTGCTTAGTTTCTCCTGCATTGGGTCTGAGTAGTATTACTGTTGACTGAAACTGTATCATTGAGCTCACTCCAGCACTGGTTTTCAGCAAACTGCCCTTTCTCTCCGGATAGTCTGTAGAAGGGCTCCCCGACCCGACCTGTCGCTGTCCCTTCATTTCACAGCTGTACCCTGTCATTTAAAGTCGGGCTTGTGTCTGGCCTAAAAAAGTATTTGTGTTGTCTGTTCTTCTAAAGTATTTTGCATATCACAACATGAATCATCTATATCCATGCTGTCAACATTTAGAAATATTTTCCTTTTGTATAAATATTTCTTTTAACTGTTGAGTCTTTTAGTTATAGATTCATTTTTTAAAAAGATTTATTTTATTTTTATTGGAAAGGATATACAGGGATATACAGAGAGGAGAGACAGAGAGGAAGGTGTTCCATCCGATGATTCACTCCCCAAATAAGCGCAACGGCCAATGCTATGCTGGTCCGAAGCCAGGAGCCTCTTCTGGGTCTCCCACACGGGTGCAGGGTCCCAAAGCTTTGGGCCATCCTCGACTGCTTTCCCAGGCCACAGGCAGGGAGCTGGATGGGAAGCAGGGCTGCCGAGATAGAACCAGCGCCCAAATGGGATCCCGGGGTGCGTTCAGGGCGAGGACCTTAACCACTGCACCATCGCGCCGGGCCCTATAGATTCATTTTTTAAAAAGATTTATTTTTATTGGAAAGGCAGATTTACAGGGAGGAGAGACGGAAAAAAGATCTTCCATTCACTGGTTCACTCCCCAAGTAGCTGCAATGGCTGGAGTTAAGCTGATCTGAAGCCAGGAGCCAGGAGCTTCTTCCAGGTCTCCCATGCAGGTGCAAGGTCTTAAGGGTCTGGGCCATCTTCTGCGGCTTTCCCAGATTGTGGATGGGAAGAGAAGCAGCTGGGACACAAACTGGCACCCAAACGGGATCCTGGCGTGTGCAAGGTGAGGATTTAGCCACTGAGTCATTGCACCAAGTCCTAGTTATGGAGTCACGTTTTACAACAGTGATGTAAACAGTGTGGCTTTGGGTCTGGCATTGTGGAGTAGTGAGTAAAGCCACTGCCTAAAAAGCAAGCATCCCATATGGGCTCTGGTGCCTCTTTAGGTTGCTCCACTTCTGATCTAGCTCCCTGCCAATGACCTGCAAAAACATGGCAGGATGGCGCAGGTACTCTGGCCCCTGCGTCCCACATCAGTGATCCAGATGAAGTTACTGATTCTGGGCTTCAGCCTGGTGGAGCACTGGCATCGTGATCATCTGTAGAGTAAACCAGCAGGTGTAAGGGGTGTGTTCCTCTCTGTAACTCTTATTGAAAATAAATTAATCTTTTTTTAAAGCACAGCTTTTTAATCAGATATGGTTTTAAATATGGCTCTGGCAGCTAACTAGCTTAATGAGCTTGGACTAAGTGCTTAATCTCTTGCACCTGTTTATAAAAAAGAGCGAGAGAGATTAAATCAGATGATGTAGGTGGAATGCCAAGCACAGCACCTGGCACGTGGTAAATACTTTAAACACAGGATGATGGTTATATTCGGCAAGGATATCTTGATATACTTCTCTGCTTTTTGAAAAGAATTAGAAATTGCACTTTGGTAAGTATTTATTTTGTGCTGTGTTTCAAAGGGTTTGGTAGTTTGGTAGTGAAAGGCTCTTAAATGTTTTCCAACACAAGCGCTTTCAGTAAAAAATCATTTGTGAGGCTGGAAAAAGAAAAGTGGAAGAAATTTTCCCTCATGAAGAATAAATAATCCCTTGTTAATTCCATGTGGTCCCTGTCTGTTTGACACCTTCAAAACTGCAATAAGCAAAACTGAAGATTTAAATGTGTCCTTTAGCTATTTCACTGGAAATGTGCATTACCCTTCATGCAGCTCCTCCATTCTGTGGAATCCAGCTATCAATTCTGAATCAAAGTCCTCTGTCAGAGTCAATGTGCTAAGGGTCAACGTGTTGGACCACAGCAACCTTTTTCCATAACCCAGTGTTCTAGGCTTAGATTTTTCAAACGTTTTTGTTTCATGTCCCTCTTTTTTTTTTTTTTTCTTAACAAAACTCTGAACTAGACTAGTTGAATATAAACACAAAGCCTCTTTATTTTCTTTTAGGGCAAGGATTCTTCCAGGAAGCCAGTGAGGAGGAATTTTTTAGTATGTATTAAATGGGAGAAAGTAAAGCCTTACTCTACTAATCTGGGCAAGAACCCAAAAATTAGGTGCTTTTCTTTTTTCATTCTTAATGAACATGTAGCAGTGGTGACAGGAATTAAAAATTACTCATACTCTAGTACTTCCTGATGCAATTCTAATAGACCAGGGAATAAGCTATGCACTCTTGTGCTTGACATTCTGAAAGGTACACTCAATTGATGAAAAATGCAACCAAAGGATATGTATCATAGTTGCATTTTGCATCAATATCAATTGCTTCCTGAAAACTGAATTATTCCCTGACCTTCTTTTACTAGTAGTAAAAGAATACTACTAGTAACGCAGTGGTTAAGGTCCTCGCCTTGCACGCCCGGGATCCCATATGGGCGCTGGTTCTAATCCCGGCAGCCCCGCATCCCTTCCAGCTCCCTGCCTGTGGCCTGGGAAAGCAGTCGAGGACGGTCCAAAGCTTTGGGACCCTGCACCTGCGTGGGAGACCTGGAAGAGGCTCCTGGCTTCAGACTGGCATAGCATCGGCTGTTGCGCTCACTTGGGGAGTGGATCATCGGAAAGAAGATCTTCCTCTCTGTCTTTCTTCTCTGTATATCTGCCTTTCCAATAAAAAAAAATTAAAATAAAAATAAATCTTTAAAAAAAATAGTACTAGTATTTTCATTACTACTACTTCTATTACAATGTCACTTTTACTTTTTCTCATTAACACATTCTAGTTCACTTTTTAGCTATGCTTCTGCTTTTTTATTGGAGTGTTTTACCAGTTACATTACCATGAAAATCACTGTGCACACTTCAACTTCCATAACAGCCTAACCCATCCTTCTTTGTTTAACTCCAAAGTGCTCTGTATTTCACTTTCCTGCCTTACTTTCCATTGGTTACTTTTCATTTGCTCACACTCATAGCTACCAGCCAACACTTCCTCTGTCAACTTCCATGTTGCATTGAAATAGTCCTATTTTCACTCCCATTTATACTTGCTGTGCTTGATCTCCTGCACTCATTACCAATGTGATTACTCAGCATGAGGTTTTGGTTTGTTTCTTTGGCATCCCTGAGTCATGCTTACTTGCTTTTTTCTTTCTTTTTTTTTTTTTATATTTAGTGTTTCTTTCTCTTTTGGATGATAAAAATGCTGTCTTTTCCATATTTTTTAAAAATGAGATTTGCTGCTTGGTGAACTGGTGAAGAGGCACTTGGCTTGCCTCTACATGCCAATGGAGTGTATGAGTTTGACTCCCAGCTCTACTTCACATCTGCCTTCCTGCTAACGTGCACCCTGTGAGCCAACAAGGGATTGTTCCTGACACCCACATGTAAGATCTGGATTGAGTTCCTGACTCCCGGCTTTGACCTGGCCCATGCCTGGATGTTATGGACATTTGGGGCATGCCCAGCATATAGAAGATCTCTGTTTTGCC